TTATTTGTCAAGTCGAATCGATAGGGGAACTACTTATTCCTTCTCCCTTTCTCCCCATTGTCGAGGCGTTTCTCGTGTCATCCTGGCTATTTTGTTGAACCTTTTCTTTGAATCGAATCGTGATTTCTTAATTGCCATTCTTTATCTTCTTAGATTCCGACCTTGACCCTGTTTCTAACCCCGTCTCCGGTTCTCTTGCCCGTGAGATCGATAACTACTCGGATTCGGACTCTGTTCATCTGAACAATGTCGAGCCATATTCTCATCTGAACGTCGAGCCGGAGGATTTTGTCCATTCGCCCGCCTCACCTTTTGGCATCGACTGGGCTGTGTATAACCAGGCGCTACTTTCGGGCACCCTTTGTGAGGATCCCGAAGTTCTCAACACCCTTGAAACTTCCTACCCCGACTTGGCTCCTCGAGGTATTTTCCGCTAGATTTTTTCGAACACCCCTTTGTATGCGGCCCGCCTTGCTCCTTTATAACGACTTTCCTTAATCGAGTCTGCAACTATAGCATGTTCCATGGTAAGTTCTTACTATCATTTTCTTTATGCTCCTGCAGCCGAAATCGATGGCTTTAGAGAGTTCAGCAGCCTTCCCGCAGACTGGGCTGTAATTGCTCCTAAGCCCGAAGACGACTTTCGTCATCCTCCGAAGGGCTGTTATACTTTTTTCGTGGACCAAATAATCTCGGGCCTGCGTTTTCCGATTCAGCCTGAGCTAAAATCATTGAGTGACCTTTTTGATGTACCAATAAACCAGTTCACCCCTAATTCTATCCGAATAATGGTAGCCTTTATAGTCGTTACCCGCATAGTCCTAGGTGATTTTTTACCCGAATTTTTCCTTTATTGTTATGGATATAGGTTTAGCAAAGACGCCCATTGTTTGGGTCGTCGGATAGGGGTTACTTTTCTTGATGACCTCTCTTCCAATATTACCGAATGAAAGAAGAAGTATTTCTTCATTCGGCCTGCTCCTGGTCAATATCCTTACTCGAATGAGTGGATCACTAGTAAGAAAAAGCAGCGTAAGCGTCCCGACTCTTCTCTGTTTGTCGACATGCTAGAAGAACTAAATGGACATGTGTGGAGTGCTCGTCAACTTACCAAAGATACTTCTTTACTTAACCATGTTGGTATTTGTGTCGACAAAAGTGTTCCTCGCCTTAGCGATCCTTGTAAGCTCTTTGTTTGTCGTCTCTTGTTCCCTTTCATTTACTGATGGTTTGGCCTTGTATTTCTGCATTGCCCTAAAATGTATGCACGATTTATATGTTTATTTGTATTGATGACTCTCTCTTTCCTTTTTACTAAAAGCATTGGCTCGCTTTGAGAAGAAGACTAAGGCAACTGATGCCTCGGTTGCCCAAGAGCTCGGGGGCGGCTCGAGTTCTGTTGCTCCATCGACGGCGGTCGAGACGACTGTAGCTAAGAAGTCCAAAGTTGTGCTCCCCTCGGCCACTGTTCCAGGCAAGTCGTCAGGTCCTTCGCGCAAGAGGTCTCACGACCCGAGGGACAAAGCCTCAGCCCCTGATTCTTCAAAACGCCCTAAGGGGAAGGAGTCGACAGCTGAGGGCGGCACAACAGCTCTCCCAGTCGAGGCGGGTACTGGGCAGCCGTCACCTGTGAGGGTTCAACCGATAACCCTCCAGCAACCATCCCGGCTCTATGATAACCCCGACTCTCTCCAGATTCTTAACTATCTTCAGTCGGTTCTTCCTGAGGATGATAGAGTCCGGACCGACGGCAACCCTTATCATCGGGCCCGCTATGCCGCTCGGCTCATTCCACGGGTAAGTTTGATCTTACGTTTGCTTGCTTTTCTGGTCTCGGGTCCATTTCTTATTTTTTGTTTGTTTGTCCTTTTTTCAGCTTCTCGCCTGCATCCTTCCGACCATGATCGAGGAAGCGACCTCCCCTGAGTCAAATATCCAGACTCTGAGGGA